AGCCTCCCTTCGCCTTCAGATAACTCCTATGCTGATGTACGCTGATGAGAGAGTTAATGAAACATTAGAGGCAGCGGGGAGAGATAGGCGCGGGCAGGAAAGCACACCTGCAGGCACCCTTTCAAGACTCTCTCGGGGCTGACTTTATCGGGAGGGCCACGGCAGGCTCGCAGCTGGGCCGGCAGGAACCGGGAGCTGCAGAGGTGGTCTCTATGGTTAGCGTAGAAACCTGTCTGGGGAGAGCTTCCTGAAACTTTCTTCTTCGCTGTTTGCGAGGGCTCCTCTGACAGATGTGTGCGCAGAGCGCATCTTGGAGCTGTAGCCGGGAGTAGTAATTTAATATCAAGTTGTTTCCCATGAAACGAAATTTCCTCGGGCATAAGTTGAGCCAGTCTGTAAATGCGGGTCCATGCTGTCTGAGAGGAGGAGGAGGCTTGTTTTAAAAAAAAAACCAAACAACAAAATCTGCAATTGTTTGGATAATCAAGTGGATTGGAAAAATGCCTTGTAGAAATGTCATGCATTGAAAGGGATTGCAAAAAAACCAACCACCTGATCACAAATAATTTATGGAAAAATAATTGCAGAGTGAATACTTTTTACAGCCCCATAATCACTGCCAGCTTGCAAACACGGCTCAAGGCAGAATTTGGACCTCTATGGTTTGTCTTCATTATCTTACCCTCATCAGTCACCGACAGCAAAAAAGTCACAGACAAGTTTATGCTGGTACCAGGGTCTTCAGAGAAAACTGCTGAGACATCGAAGCCAAGTTCAAAAAAAAGAGTCAAACAAAGGGAACAAGTGCATTTGGTCAGCAAATACAACATGAGAGATTAGCCTGGTGATTGAATGTTGTGGGTAGTGTCTTTCCTTGGCCACCCAGGCAAAACACCACCATTGCTCCTGAGCAATACCTGGGCCATCGACTGACTCCACCCGTGCTTGGGAACAAGGAAACAAGCAAGATGCAGACCAGCGCCTCAAAATCAGTCTTTCCGGAACTGAAATATTTTTAACGTGCTCTTTAAAAAACAAACAATCAAACAAAATAAATTTTAAATAGATTTCTAGAAACAAGGTTTTTTTCTGTCCTTTGCCAGAGTAAGAGGAGGTGATGATTATGATGCTACAGTCACAACCCTACAGAAACACCCTTCGCTGATGTGCCTGACCGTGTGGACTTGAGGGAGCATTGGTAGCCATTGACTTAGCTGGCCTGGATAAGGATCAAGATTGCAAATACTGAGAAAAACTCCTTTTCTTCCAGCTCTTTTGAAGGATCACTCTGTGCTACAGAATATTCAGTGCTGTGCTCTGTGCTTTACCCTCAGCAGACTTGTTATTTTGGCTCCTAACTACAAAGTCTGGCTCTTTCATTCAAGCTGTAATGTTTTTTCCCAAACCAGTCCAAGCTCTGGCACTCTCAGTTTAGGCTGATAGCTGCCACATAGGTCAGACCTGTGAGATTTGAACCCCCTGGGACTCTCTGCATAGAGTATACTTTATTGGGGAGAACTGGAGAATTACAGGGTCTAGCTGGGAAACACCTCACACTCTGGTATTTTCCTTTATTTTTGCTCTGGCTCCTTTGCCTCTTCATTTTTAATTAGTGGCACATGCTGAAATGATAATTTAAATTCTTTTCAGAAATCAAAAGAATTCCCACTGACAACATTATTAAGTTATAATTACAGTGAAGAAAAAGGTTAATAGGAATTTGAGCCAAATATCTACTCTCCATTAAATGAGAACTTGACTGAACCTGTTTTCCCTTCGTTTTGGTAGGTTACTCTAGGTTTAAATGGGTCTGGGATGGCTATACACCTGTGCAAAGAGCCACTGCAAGGCCAAATAGCCATCGCCAAGACCTACACGGACCTGTCTCAGGATAGGTCTTGCCTAACTAGTGATCTAGGTGGAATATAACAGACAGGTAGGACTTCTCTCGGACCTCTGAGAGAAAGACGTGTATTTCTGATGGTAAACAGAACACGGTCATGTGGAGATATTTGTGTGAGAAAGACATGTAGGAGGTGGCACTTTATTGCAAAGGAAACTTAGCAAGTATTGGTGGGGGAAAAATAATCAGGTTCCTGGGCTACGGCATTCACACAAAGCCTCTTCCTTCGCTCATGCTGAGTGCCACACGCATGCAGAAACATATGCAAATCAGCCTTAATCTACTGAGTGTTTTGCATTTTCAATGAAATGAGAGAGGGGAAAAAGAAACATTTTCCTCTGTATTAGCTCTAAGTGTGCCCATGAACAACAGAATTATTGCAATGGTTTTGCATGTTAAAAATGGGTTTTAAAGCAACTGAAGGTGTAGGGGAAAAAACACCAGTCCTTTTGCTGGGCACCTGCACGGTGAGCCTCCATGTTTCCCAGTACTGCTCCGCACTGGGTGCTAGATAATGATCTGTTTAGACTCAGCCACGCTTGGTGCAGTTGCAGCTGAAGCCCTACAAGGCAGGAGCTTTGCCTCGCAGACCTGTTGTAAGCTTGGTGCTTCTTTTTCCCCTTTTTTCTTTTGAGCTGTAACGCGTTGCTTAAGCTGTGGCATGCCTCAAAGGCAGACCTTTCCCTCTTCCCAAGTTGCACACCATCGAGTCCCGCAGTCCTCTCTCGCATCTTGCACAAGCGTTTTTTACGGCGTGAGCCCGCAGCCTTTGCACAGGCAAGTGCTCCCGCTGACTTCCCCTTCTCTGTAATCCATACCCAGCGCCGGGGTCCTGCCTGCGGTAACCCCTGCAAAAATACCTCGGGGCTGGCTCTCCTCCGGCCCAGGTGGGGGCAGGTGGGAAACACAGGCAAAACTTGGAGGGGGCTGCTGCTGAAAGCCAAAAGCACACGAGAAGGGACCTCGCAGAGGCTGGAAAAGGCCTTTTTGCTTCTCCTTTTCTGTGCATGGCATGGCGTGAGGGCCACTGCATGGCTTGGGCTGGGAGGACTGGGC